AGGAAAATAAACCTCAGAGATATTAAGTGATTTGCTCAAGGTCCCAAAAGGCATAGGCAGTGGAGCCAGGTTTGGAATCCAGGCAAAACTTGCCACTCCCACCGTTCTCTGCTGCCCGTTAACTTCTTACCCCAGACGAACTCACGTCACTTCTGTGCTTATAATCTGTGGCACCCCCACCCCAGCCTCTCCACTGCTCAGAGGACACACCTAAACTTCTTAACATGTCCTTTCCAAGTCCAGTTTTCAATGCATTTATTCATGTACTCATTATAAATCAACAAATAATATCAAGCCCTCACATTTGTACTTTTAGGTACAACCTTCCCAAAACCATGTGACATAGGCAGGTGAGCAAACAGCCCTAAGCAGTTTCGATAGCTTGTCAAGAGGCAAGACGATATGCCTTTCCTTTCCTTCCTTGTTCTCACAGTGCCCGGAGCTTCCTACCGAGTTCAAGCGCGGCAGGTTCCTCCATCCCTCTCTGATTCCACACACTGTTTCCTCCAGTGGGTGTGCCCTTCAGCCCACCTGGGGAGCACATGCCAGTCCTTCACGATTTCTGTGGCTCACTGGCCCACCTTTCTTTGGGCTCCCTTAACATCCCATTGAAACTCTGCATAATCACACTGACTATATTAGATTAGATGCATTTGTTTGCCCGTCATCTCCTTTGCAGTAGACTGTGGACTTCTCTAGAATAGAGATTGTGGGTTGTGAGCAGGGCCTTATTTAGGAAGCTAGGACAAACGAGTGACAGAGGATGGAATGGATGAAGAAAGACATGATTAATGGCAAATGTTCGTTTCTACTGCTTCCAGGATTCATGTAACACTAAACCAATAGTTATCAAGAATAAGGCATGGTAGTTGGGGCAGAGATAAATGGTAGTGTGTTAGGGGAGTGTGTGTGTGTGTGTGTAGAAGGAGAGGGGGAGTGAGTATGTATATAGTTGATATACATATGTAATTTCTCTCTGTGTATATATAAAATGTTGGTACGTGTACATAGAATGTGTATATGTAATGTAGACACATATATAGTGTGTATAATGTGTGTAAGTACATATAGTATACATGTATAGTTTATTTATATATATATAAAATATATAGTGTACACAAGCTTGCCTGTGTACTTACAGTATGTAGCTATATAGTTGGTCTGTGGTATGTACATAAAGAATGCATACATACCGCTCTGTCTGAATAAGGAATGGAGGAATGTCCTCGGGTGAGGATTAAAAAAAAATTAAAAAAATAAAGAGTGCATATATAGTGTGTATACATATATAGTGTCTATTCACACATATATATGGTATTTGTGTGTATACACTTCATCTGTATGTGTATTAGAACGTAATGCAAGCAGAGACAGAGGGTGCACTTGAAGATGGTAGTAAGGACATTTATTACATACAATATGGATATCTCTTAATAAAAAGAGAGTTACTTTGAGGCTTGACTCCCTGCTGAGGAGAGCAGTCCCTGAAGGAAGAAGAAACAGAATTAGGAAGAAAAATAGTTTAGAGAAATCTCACTAAAACCAAGCAAGAACCACATTCCAAGAAGAGGCTGCTTAGCAAAATCAAATACCTTAACAAAAAAGCGAAGGAAATGGAGGGGGGCATCCATGGATTTGATAGGTAGGAAGATGGCAGTGAACAGGGGTGAAAGTTCCAGGAAGAGGAGAGGTGGGATGACTCGGGGTGAGGAGGTGGAATCAGACACTTTCCAGTCTGTCTCTTCCCAACACTTTGCCCTTGAAAGGATGACAAGAAAAGCAACTTTCATGGGAGCAGGCGAAGACATGGCTTTCTTTGGTCCCTGTAAGAGGGGAGAGCTTGACCATGTTTGTGGACAGACCTGCATTCATGTCATGAAACGTCAATCATAGCAAACACGGCTGAGACCTCCAACCCACCCAGCAGACGCTCAAAATCTCTCACAACTCTGTGATATGGGTCCTGTCATTATCTACATTTTACAGGTAAGGAAGCAAGGCACAGAGAGATTGAGTAACTTTTCCAGAGTCGCTCAGCTTTTAAGTGGCAGAGTCAAGGTCTCCCCCGCGCCCCCTACCCTCGGCAATCTGATCTCAGCACGTGTGCTCTAGCTGATGTGCAGTAAGAGACACAGAAAACAGAGCTGTGACCTCATGCTTTCCCAAGTCCCACTTAGACTGGCATAGGCTTCCTTTCCCTGGCTTTCTCTTCTGCCAAGCAGAGGCTTGGAACCCAGGGACATCCACATCAAAGTAATGGGCCAGGAGGGCACTGTGTTGGAGGGGCAGTGGCTGGAGAGAAATAGTGGAGAGGGACCATTTATTTGTTGGTGTTGCAACTGGCATCTTTCTAGTAGTTGGTAAGATGGAGATTATCTTAAGCATCATCAGAGAACAGGTATAACGTACACTATAAGACCTGAGTTCAAAAACTGGCTCTAAATTATAGTATTTTACAACCTGCAGCAAGTCACTTAACCTATGAAGGTACCAGTTCTGTATCCATAACATTAGATGATAATAATAATAATTTTTAAGAATAATGAAAACTATTGTACATCCCTCAGACTATTGTAAGGAGCAGGTGAAACAGTGCCTGTGGCAGTGAATGAAAATGGGAACTATTGCATGATCATCATCATCGCTGTTATTGTTAGGCTCTCAAACCATCTGAAAAATTGCTCATCCTCTCCACTCCCCCACTTCCACCTCCCAAGGCATTAAAAATTGATAAGGCATCTGATTTTCAGAAAGTATTTCTAAACCCAGATAACTTCTGTGTGTACAATTTGCCAAGTTCAAAATTCCCTTATACAGTGAGTTAACATGACACATTGTTAAAGATCTTAGAGAGTGGGCAGTGATCAACTGTCATGACCCAGGATTTGCAAGCAGCTTTGGGGTGCCTGGAGCTAATCAAAACAACATAGTTACATCAGACGTTCCACACCTGCCTATTCATCCTTCTTTGCTCTCTCCACTCAGCATGTTAATCATGGTATTGATATACAACCTCTAATCAGCATTTTCCTCTTACATTTCACTACCTGTTTTCATGGATTTCACTTTTATACATCAATATAATCTTTAGTCCCAACATGGTCTTACTAAGGACAGAGGAGGAGGTGACTTTAGTGAAGAAGCAAAGTGAACACACACATTGGGAGGGAATGTGGGGAAATGCCTATGAGTTGCCAGACATTCTGATTGCATTTGCCAAAGATTTGGAGGAGTCTCATTTGTCAGACTGGGGAGACCAGGTGTTTAGATGGATTTTGCACTTTTAAATGAGATAGTTTTGTTCATATATATAGTGAGCTTAGAATTACATGCAAAGCTGCCATTCTTTATACTTTTCTGTCTAAATTGTCTTGATTTTTAACTTTACTCTATATAATTACACTCCAACAATAAAATTGAAACAAGTAGGCAGTAGCTGGATGGGGTACGTGATGGATGACAGGTGTATGGGCAGTAATAGGAACATTTACTGTCACAAGTAATCTTCAAGAACATCTAAGACATAATCTCCTTTTATAATTGAGGAACCATAGATCTAGGGTCAAATTTCTCTCCTTTTTTTTTAAATTTTTTATTTTCTTTGAGAAAGCGATACGCAGTTCTCATGTTTGTTTTACTTAAGAAAAGTGAAGCCCTGGCCAGTTTTGCTCAGCGGTTAGAGCTTCAGCCTGTGGTCCAGAGAGACCCGGGTTCGGTTCCCACTATGGGCACGTAATTCTATTGCAGCTTGTCCCTGGCCCTGGTTGGACACTGCGGGAGGCAACCACTTGATGTGTCCCTTTCACTTTAATGTTTCTCTCTCTTTCTCTTCCTCTCTCTCCTTCCCACTCTATCTGAACAAAAAATGGAAGAATGTCCTCGAGTGAGGATTAAAAAAATAAATAAAAGTGAATATACAAAATCCCAGGTAGCAGAGGCAATGCATATGATGGTCATTTGCACTAGATGGTTTCATGGAAAGGAGGGTGTACTCTGAACCCCTTACGGTACCTATCAGCCCCTCTAAGTCACACACATGATTCACCAGTTTTGCAAAGCAAGGCACTCCACTAATTCTATTCACCTCACCCCTAATACCGCCTCCCCTTCCCCAAATAACTAAATGGTTGCTCAGTGTTAATCACTCTAAAACTTTACAGGGTAATTCTTTCAGTTGCCTGTTAAGCAGATATCAGTTAAAACACATTCAGAACAATAATGTTTTTTCCTCTTTAAAATCTCTAGACCAAAACAGACAAACCGACTCCTTCTCTGCCCCTTTCTCTCCTATCACGCCCACAAACACCCTGCCACCAGATATCTCTCTTTCCAAGGGGGCGCAGACAAAGGCTCTGACAGATACCTGCCATCCCAGCTCCCTCTTCCCGTTTTAGATTTTTACTCACAATGCCAATGAAACGGGAGCCAGTAGTTGTTTGGTTTATGTTCTGTATTTTGTTTGTTTTTCTATTTAAACGTACAAATAACATTTCTATTTATAAATACAAAGTTCTGTAAAAAAAAAAAAAAAATGGATGATAATCTTAGTCACTGTCCAGCAGGAACCTGTTATATTGCTTATAGCATCAGAAAGCAGATTCTCCATTTAAAAATATATATATGTTTTTTAGCCTGGTTCTAGGACATTTTCAAGCATAGGAAATTCTTTGTCCTACAAACAAATCCTTTTAGAGATTATCTAAATATGCCAGTGATGAATGTCTATATTTATCCAGGAATCAAGGCTATTGAAGTGAGCTGGAATTCAACACCATGTATACACTTGCTGATATAGAAATAGTTTATAAATTACTTCATCAGATTGCAAAAATACATCAGATATCTATACATTTCCAGCAGGTAATAAATTACTTACTAAAATATAAAAATAAAAAAGCTCAGGTGTGTTTCTTCTGTTTCAAGTGTGAAACGCACAGCAGTCCTGGTTCTGGGGCAACCCCTTCCCCACTGCAGCCACCCCCACACCGGAGGGGAGCGTGTTACTTGGCGTGAGTGGGCCGCAGAGTTCCCAATAGTCTGTCCCAGTGTGTGAAGTAAGGGGCGAAGTTGCAGTTAAACTGAGAGTGATGCAGGTCGTGGTGTGCCACACCCCCGTACCACCCAAAAGGTACCAGTCTGTGCGTGGACCAGGGAAAGTCATAGCCGGAGTGGTCCTCCACCGACAGCCAGATGTTGACCACGTGGAAGACCAGGATGGTGAGCGGGTGGCACTGGAGCACCGTGACATTCATCATGTCAAAGAAGCCCAAGGAAAACAGCTCCCAGACGCTCATGTACTGCGTGGCCAGCGCGAACGAGGGCGAGTTCTGGTGGTGCATCTTGTGGAAGGTCCGGTACAGCCAGGGCACTTTGTGGTGCAGCAGGTGCCACACGAAGAACTCGGCATCGAAGAGCAGCAGGCAGAGCACGACGTGGCACACCAGCTGCAGCAGCTCAGGGGGTTCGGCGGGCAGGAGAGCCGGGCTGCCGGCCCAGTACACCAGTGTCAGGGGGAACACGAACACCAGGTGCTGGTAGAGCGTCTGCGCCAAGCAGGGCAGCAGCTGCCGCGCCGTCGGCAAGAAGTTGGGCTGGATCTTGTAGCGCCGCAGCGCGGGCACCCAGGGGCACAGGAAGTCCAGGACCACGAAGGGCAGGCAGAAGACCACGTAGACGGTGATGGAGAAGATGACCGGGAAGAAGGGCGATTGGGTAAGGGACTCCAGGGTCCTCAGGCGGTCCCAGAGGGGCTGCAGCAACAGCTGGCCAGCGCTACACGGGACATGGAGCTCGGAGATGTTGCTCATGGCGAGGCTCTGCTTGGCAGCCGCTGCGGCTGCTAGCGTCCCACCGACTTTATTTAGGACCGGAGCCCCGCCTTGGGTGACGTCACTGCCTCTGCTCTCCCTGTCCCGGCTGCACAGAGCTTGCACACAAAAAATAACTCCACGGAGTTGTACCTAGTACCTAAAATACACACCTGCAGCTGCATTTCATGGGCTTTCATATATGCAATATGAATGGCACCCAGTAACTTCATATGCATGTAGAATTACGTTCTACTTTTTAAAATTGGCGTGCAATTTACAGAAGACACAATGCATAGATCTTTAAAGGTTCTACGAGTTTCTGAGTTTGGACAACTCAATTCATCTGTGTCATCACCACCCCCAAACAAGATAGGGAATATTTCCATCGCCACCATTAAGAACTCCTTTGAGATCAATGCAGAATTACTTATCTTTTGAAATGCATATGTATTCATAAAAACGCAAGTATAACTACATTTTTTAAGATGTTCAAAAAGTGATGTACCTTCTGTATTTCTGATCTTTTCTGTCTGCACCCCTTGTGTGGATTTAACCAGAAGCGAGCGGCAAACTAACCTTTCTCAGAGGCAGTCGCGGGTCCCGGCCGCGCGCAACGGCGATTCGCGCAGGAAATCAGACGAGTCCGGGTGGCGGGACCGGAAACTCTACAGTTCCAGTCTCTGGAGAGGATCTGTCCCCACCGGTTCGCCGCAAGCTCCAGGCTCCACCGCACTCGGACCCTCCCGGAGGAGCCGCAATCCCGGGCTGCCTGTCATCCCTCCGCGGCGCTGCGAAAACGCGCAGACCCGCGACGGGAACGGCGACACGTCGCCGCAAAGAGGGGACAGCGACTTCTAGGCTTCGCTTTACAAAAAAAAAAAAAAAGTTCTCAGTTTAACATCTAGCGCCGGCCGAGATCTGGCTAAAAAGGCCCCGCATCTCGGGAAGCAATACAATCCGTAAAGCGCCCACTGCTCCTGAGGGGAATATTTGCGTGTTCCTGCAGCCTGGAGAGCTGTTGGGTGGAGATGTTGCGCCTACCCTGCCCTGCCCTGGGCTGGCTTGGCGCCAGCTTGCCTTTCGCCTTCGCCCCCCATTTGCCCCAATCCGAAGCCGGACTGTGAGGCCCGCTCCGTCCCTGCGTTTTTCTGCCATCAAACTGGGGTTGACTGGCCAGGGACTGAGCGCTAGGAGGTCGGTCCTAGGAGAGCTCTCGGGAGACCTCCCAGACCAACAACAACGAAAGGCCCGCGTTTGACCCGGTAGCTGGAACACTAGCAGGGCCTAGAGAATAGGTTTGGACAAAAACTTGGAAGCCAGGGGCCCAGCTTTGCCTCTTCTGTCTGTGAGGTTGGAGCCAGCGCTTGACTCCTTGAAGCTTTGCATTTTCATATCTGTCCCCACTCCAAGTGAAATAATAATATAGCTCTCTCACAAGTCTACTTCAAGCATTAAATAGGATAATAATAATAATAATAATATTAATAATAATGTTACCATGCAACGTCTGCGAAGCATTAGCTAAATGTTTTACTTAAAGGGATTTCACCCAGTCCGTGGAAGTAGGCATTATTATTATTGCTGTGGTCTCAGGAATGTTAAAGTACAGTGCCTGGCACATAGTACACATACAAAGTAAGACACATTCATTTTATTTTTTCCATCGCCATTCATCCCCTTTATGCCCTCTTCCACCTCCATCCACACTGCCATATCCGCTAAAGCACATTATTTTAAATTTACAGTTCACGTTTTACCTGAAGCATAGTGAAGTATGCAATGAAAATCAAATAAAATTACATAAAAAGAAATAAAAGTTATAAAGCCATATATTGTGAGGAAAGAATAAGTACAACAGATATATAAACCAATATATGGGCCTAGAAATATAATATCTAGCATATATACACATCCTAATATATGTATTTATACATGTGATTATATAATATACCAGTTCATAATATATACTTACATATTGATATATAATAACATAAGGTGTATATGGGTTATATAGGATGTTATACACATACATTTATAATAGGCCGATTCATAATTCACAGCCTCCCAATCAGCGTATGTTCCTGGACGGTCACTGAAGGGTTACAGATATCTCTTAGATGTCCATTCTCTGAAGCCCAAGCCTCTGTCTGTACGGCAAGCTTTAAAAAATAATAATAATAATAATAATAATAAACCTCAGTGTGCCATCAGATGATTATGATATTCTGCTCAGATCTTGATGAGATAAAGGATCAGAAGCAGCTTTGAGCTTCTTGACAGCCAATGCCAAACAGGAGAAAAAGTGGAGACAGGTACAGTGCAGGCCCTTGGCCTCCCTGCTCGTGGGTTTCTTCCGGTTAGAAAACCTTTCTAGTCTCTTCTTCGACCCCCGTTCCCCCAGCGCTCTTTCCAATTCACTCTTAGTGCATCCCAGAAACTCCCTTCTTTTCCGTTTCTGATGGCTCCCACCCAGCCCTTAAACTCTATACAGCTCCAGTAGCATGTCAGAGAGAAGAGGAAGGGCTTCTTTCCCTTGCTCTTTCTTTTCTATGATTTAAAAAGGTAAGATAAGAAGGTGTATTTGAGAACTACACCACACTATTGACTATAGTATATGCCATTTACTCAGCCTGCATTCGGGGACTCCCCAGCACTCGGAAGGGTCTGGCACAGCTCACTTTCTCGGACTTCCAACTGAACTCTGCTCAGAAGTAACATATGCCTCAGATTTGCCCTCAACACACATTAAGTCAACCTTCAAATTTCTGTCGGGCTCATGTTGTCCTCTCCTTGTGGTTTCAGCTACCACGTTTGGATGCTTTGGGTGGATGGGGTGGTGGCATTGGCAGGTTGTGTTTAATTTGGACTTAGCTATTAGACTGTTGTCAGGACTGTCCCCTTGGAGCCCCTCGCTCCAACCAACCCATTCTTCTCCTCCTTTGGTTCTTCCATCCTCTATCACTAAGCCTGTTAGAATATTCCGCCTTAACATCCCCCTGTGCAGCAAAACCTTGAAGCCATGGCTTCAGCCTGGATGGCCCGGGCTCTCCCCACTTACAGCACTTGGAAGAATAACCACCAGCTTCCCTGCCTTTCCAATCCACGCAGCCACCGGGACGAAGTTTGTGTCCAGTATATGAGTGCAACCATCTCAGAGCACATGGTCAGTTAACCTCTCATCAGTTGTCCATTCCAGGTCACAGAGGATGCTGCAAACACAGGTACAAGTTGTTTGGCGGCCAAAAACTGGACATCACTTAATGGCACCAAATACAATTGAACCCTATTTAATTGTGACTGAAAAAGTGGTATCACTTCTTGAATTGGCAAGTATGCACCTTTAAACACTTTTAATTTACACAAAATTGATTTGAAAGCTTGCTAGATGAATTGGTATTTTTAGGGCACAGATTCTATCTTCTAGAATTTTCCCCCCACAGCCAAGCATTATACTTTGCACATAATGAGTGTTCAAAAGTTATTTGTGGACTCAATGTACATTTTAAAAGATATTGGCTCTAAATTGAGGCTAAAAAATTAGAATTTTTTTTTTTTTCTGCACTGGTTATGTAGGTTAGGTCTACTTATCCCCTGGAACAGTTTTTCATAAAAGGAGGCATTTATTTCTTATGGTATTAGGACTTTGGCCACACTATTTCTTGGACTTTCCTATTTGATTTTAACTTACGGTGTCCTATTTTTATCTTGGCATATTCTCTCTGATAAGATTAGAGTGTAGGAATCTTTTCTTCTCTAGCTATCCCAGAGATCAAATCACTTTTCTGAGAGTACAACAACCAAGTGTATGCATGTTTAATACAAGCTACAAGTTATTTGGTATCAACTCATCAAAAGACTTTGTATACTGACACCCCCTCCCCCATTCCCAAAATAGAACGTGTTGTTGGCAAAGTGCTTACCTACAGCATAATCTCTTTTTCTGTGACCGTTATGGTTGTTTCTTTCCCAAAGAGACTGTCTTAGCATCAGTTTAACTGAAACAATTATTTCTGAATATCAAAGATGACAGGTGTTGTAATGTTTTACACCTGTAATACATTCAGACTCATAGAGAGTGGATAATCTAATCCCTGGTTGTAAAAATGAAGACAGCCTCAGAAAAATCAAAACTAACTAGTGTTACATAGCGAGTTATAGCCAATCTGAGAGCAAAATCTGGTCAGTGTCAGTTTCAAGATAGGCGCCCCTACATTAGAAGTGGTGTTGGGATGAAACATGGAAGTTGCATTTATAGGACAATTTACAAATGACTTGGAGAACATTATCCAAACAAAACAGGGAATGCTGGTGAAGAATATGACACAGTGCTGGTGCATGTTTGATTTTCAATGTTCTCTTCAGATTTTTGACCCATCTGGGTCACGTGTGTGGGTCCTCTGCTGATGCTATTGGAACTCTCATCAACTTCTTTTAAATATTTAAAGCATATAAAATCATTCCCGTAAAAAGGCATAACATTGGCCCTGGCCAATTTGGCTCAGCCGTAGAGCATCTGCCTGCAGACCAGTGAGTCCCGGGTTCAATTCCAGCCAAGGGCACCTACCTAGGTTGCGGTTCATCCCCCCTCCCCCCAGTCATGGTCGTGCAGGAGGCAATCAGTCAATGTGCCCCTCTCACATCAATGTTTCTCTCTCTCTCCCTTTCTCTCCCTCTCTCTCTATCTGAAGATAAATAGAAAAATGTCCTCAGGTGAGGATAAAAAAAAAAAGTATTACAGATGTCCCCCCTTTTTGCCCCATTGACCCCCCTCCTCCCACTCCCCCCTCCCTCCTGCTTTCCCCAAGCATTGCCTATCAGGCAGAGAACATACTCACCTCACCTGTCAAAGGGGTTGTTGAGAGGATCTAAGCCTTATGAGAAAGCTTAAGAAACCCAGAAGACATAATGTAAAATGCTGAGTATTTGTGTTAGAACTACTAAAACTTGTGGGCAGAGAAAGAGTTTTCTGCTTAGCTTGGAATTAAACTTGAAATCTGCACCTAGAACAATACAATAAATACTCCTGAATGAATTACTGACATTTTAAAAAATCAGATTTATTACAGTCTGATGTTGCCTTTCAGTGGTCACATTATGAAAATCTCTCCATCTATTAAAATATTAATGACAAGAGTTAAAATTACAGTGTATTTTAAATGTTTGCATTGAACAAAGACCTTTAATACCCAGAAACAGAAAATAGTCTTCATTATTTGGAGATAATATCAACAGTCTAAATTTTGGTCCTTTGTAAAGTGTGAGCCTAAGGTTAAAGACATTTCCATTTCCTCTCCCATGTCTGAGGTTCTGACTACTCTATTAGGCAATTAAAAAAAAATATATATATATATATAAATATATATATATATATATATATATATATATACACACACACACACACACACACATACAGGTACCACATGAGCTCACTTATTTATGGAATATCATGAACAAAATAAGCTGTCAATCAAAACAGATCCAGAGACATGGAAGTAGGGAACAGACTGACAAACCTCAGGGGGTAGGGGTGGGGCGGGGGTTTGGAGGAGAAGAGATAAACCAAAGAGCTTATATGCATTTGTACATAACCAATGGACACAGACAATAGTTTGGGGAAAGCAGGAGGGAGGTGGGCGTGGGGAGGAGGGGGATCAATGGGGCAAAAAGGGGGGACATCTGTAATACTTTTTTTTTTATCCTCACCCGAGGACATTTTTCCATTTTTTGTTCAGATAGAGTGGGAGGGAGAGAGAAGAAGAGAGAGAGAGAGAAACATTGATGTGAAAGGGACACATCAAGTGGTTGCCACCCATACAACCAAACCAGGGCTAGGGCCAAACTGCAACTGAGGTATGTACCCTGAGCGGGAACCGAACCCAGGTCTCTCTGGACCACAGGCCGATGCTCTAACCACTGAGCCAAACCGGCCAGGGCTGTAATACTTTCAACAATAAAGATTTAAAAAATAAAATAAAAATATGTTTTCAATGATTTTTAGAGAGAAGGTTGGGAAAGAGAGAGAGAAACATTGATTGGCTGCTTCCTGGCTGCCTCCTGCACGCCCCTACCGGGGATCAAGGCCAAAAGCCAGGCATGTGCCCTGACTAGAAATTGAACAGGCAACCTCCTGGTGATGGGACAATGTTCAACCAATTGAGCCACACCAGCCAGGACCTATCAGGCAAATTTGTATTTTCATGTCACATGTGGTACAGCTATTCTTTGAGAACATTTTTTAAATGTTATGTATTAGACAGGATTAATCATAATCCCAGAAATGACCGCAGACATGGTTGAATTTACCAGTTCTCCAATTACAAACTGGCTCATAAATCAACAGTTCGCCTCTTCCCAGAAGGGGAGAAAGCCTCCTTATGAAAGGTTTGGAAACAAAGCCAAGAGTGCCCTCTTATGGTGAATGAAAAACAAAAACAAAAACAAAAAACTCTCTTGTGACTTCATTTAGTGGCTTTGCCCATGTACACACAGTTGTCTTTGTGTTCCAAGTTGGCAAATATTAACTAGTCTTTTCTTACCACAGAGGATCTGCTCAGTAGAACTATATCAAACAGAGATGATAAGAAGTCAGAACTCCTACAAGCTCATTACTGAATTTCTTGAGGCACAAGCTCCAACCTTGTTCTACACTCTCAGGCAAGGATAAAATAAAATGACATTAACCACCTGGCCAGTGTGGCTCAGTAGTTGAGCGTTGACCCATGCACCAAGAGGTCATCGGTTCGATTCCTGGTCAGGGCACATGCCCAGGTTGTGGGCCCAATCCCCAGTGGGGGCACGCAGGGGGCGTCCAATCAATGTTCTCTCTCATCAATGTTTCTTTCTTTCCCTCTCCCTTCCTCTCTTTCTAAAAGCAGTAAAGAAAAAAAATTAAAAATAAATGACATTAACACAGCCCAGGTTATAAAGGTATAAAAATTCATATAAAGAGCCTGTGTACGTATGTCAAGAGCAAGAGGTCACCAAGAAAGGCAAGTGTACAATGTAACCCAATTGTAGCAAGAATGGCTATGTAGTACTCCACCTCTAGATTGACCCACATACTAAAGAAAAATCCCCTGAGATTTACAAAGATGTTGAAAAAAACAACAACATAGCAATAATAGGGAGGCATTATAGAATGAAGCCCCTGCTCATTAATGTAGTCTGGTGTGTTGATGCTGTAATGACCACAGGTTCTCTAGAGCATCTATAGGAGCCTCCCTGAGAGCAATCAAAGCAAGAGAAACCAAGCCCCCTAGAGCACTGAAGCCCTTCTCCAGTGAGTTTTCCCTCACCACTGATATAAACCAACAAACAAAAACACCTACTCACTGTCCCTTTCTTTGCAGCCCTAGCCAAGAATCTTGTACCCGGTTGGCCAAACCAGTTTTCCTTGGTCAAAGGAGAATGGCATTTTCTTGGGGATATATCTACTTTGCATCTAGTATGTTTTCACTCTTTTCTGTTGTTGCCATGAAAAAGCAGATTCCACTAAATGTGCAGCCCCAGATGTTGCCTGTGCATCTAATTTTATTGAGCTAAATAAGTCCATCATTTTCCACACATTGTCAATACGCACATATTTATTGACTCACTGTATTCTAAGCGGTGTGTTAGATTTGGGGTAAGATATATCTTCTGCCCTCAAGCTCACAGAGTAGTGAGAGAGATCACATTAGACCTCAAAATATAGGTTTTTGGGTCTGTAGCATGACTTCTCTCTTCCGGCTTCAGTTGCTTCATACGTTCATGGAGGGCATTGGGTGGACACTCCTTGAATCCATGGCCCTGCCTGTTACAGGCCACTACCTGCAGGTGGGGTTGATCACTGCTTAGTGTCCACTCAGCCTCACTCTGTTGACTCTGCGGGATGACATTGAAGGCCAGTATTTCCAAACTATCCCCAATGCTCCTTAGGTTTGAGACTACTCTCTGCTCCCCATTGGAGAAGATCAAATGTTCACAGGCAGTATCAGCGAGGTTTATAAGGAAGAGAGGGAGATGATGGGAAAGAAAAGCATAAATCTTTACGAAAAGAGGAAGTGGAGTAGAGAATGTTTATTAAATAAAGAAGACACACACACACACACACACACACAATCCGTCAAGCCTATGAGGCTCACTGAGTTTTATTGAAAAGTTTAATAAGATTTTTCATGTTACAAAGTATCATTATGCTGTCTTCACATATTAGCCAATACCAAGCATTGTTTATTATTGCAGCTAGAGTAACTGTATCAGGAAAACATATCAACTGTTATTCTGTCCATCTGACAGCGCCTAAGGAAACAGCACTGTGAGGAAAGCCAGTGAGCGTGGGTTTCCTGACAGAGGGACACACATCAGGAGTAGCAAAAGCACGAACACACAACCGAAAAACAGGGCGATTCCCTGAGCTGTAACCTTACAGCATTCAGTTACATTTCTCAAGTGTGAACATTGATTAGGACCCTCCTCCGGGGCAGCCTTGGGGCTTTGGCTTCACTGCTGAGCTCCGGCAGCTTGTTAGGAGAAAACATTAATTGCAGGAAAAAATAGTGGTATCGTCTCCGCGGGACTTTTCTTCTCAAACAAGTGGGTTTATGACCTGCCTCACAATTAAAGAGTTCATGAATATAGATGCGTGTGTGTATTGGTCTCCATGTATTTAACACACAGTTGTTGTTTTTTAAGGAGTGGAATTTGTTTTTTAAAACTCCAGCAACTTATTTTGCTTCATCTGAACAATTGAACACTTGCTAAATAGAGGCTATCACAGATAGATTTGATACAATTCATTATAGGATCTTCATAATTAACACAGCTGGGGTGCCACTGGATTTGACTTGGCACCTACTACAGGAGAACATGAGAAAGTGTTGTTTAGATCCCTAACTACAGGGCCATTTGAAGAGCCTTTTAAGGCCATGAGATGAGAACAGTGTCAGATTATTTACCGATGACCAACACAGTTTAAAAATCCCAACACACATCAATGTGTCCTACATGGGGGTAAAAAAAAAAAGCAGTATTGTATACTGTAAATTGTATGAATAAGCAGAACGATCATGACCTTTCACAAGTCAGTGGTATTTTTAGGAGACTTAGAGAAACTACACTATGGTTGAGACACAAGCTGCATGTTTGGCCATGATTAAATAAAACAAACAAAAGCAAGTGTATTTCTAACCCTAACTGGAGAAAATTGGGCATCTTCAACATCATAATTTTCTTGGATATAAAACTATAAATGGCCTGGAAAAGAAAAATCAGTACTTTAGAAAAATTATGCCAACAAATTTTTAACATGGTTTGATCATGGACTTGATGGTAAATTTCTCCATCTGACTTTCATTAATGCCCTTCCTCATCAGATTAATCATTTTGTTATAGAGCCGCCAAGGGGCATCCAAGCCCCAGATAAAGTCGAGATGCTCCCATTCTGGAAGGCACTCGTGATACACCAAGTTGGTGATCTGGGTCAGTAAGACACTGATGTCCTTGGTGTCCGCCAGCCAGTCCCGACCACCGCTCCAAACAGCAGTAGGCACCTGCATGTCTTTCACATTGTAAGTGGGAGGGTAACTCTGTAAGAAAAACCCACAGAAAGCTAATTTACAAAAACACAATCGACAGTCTCCATTAACCACTGATTAATTCATTGAACATAAAGGACTGAAATTTGAAAATCACTTTGTTTCCTTTTCAAGTCCCTATTACCAGAATGAAATCTAACCCACAATGAGGGAACGGTTACCATAGTAACACACTAGGCACAGTAACAAGTGTTTAAATGCCCTGGGAGGAAGGTTTTCTCCCAGGTCGTCCATTCAAAGCAACAGAACCAAGTCGTTGGGAAGGGGCTTTGGGGTTCATACCTTCCTACTTTCTCGCCCTCTAGGGTATAACACAAGTCACTGATATCTCTCAGCCTGCGTGTCCTCATCTTTAATCATAATCATCATCACAGGGAAGTTGTGAAAATTAAATAAGTAAAACATGGCAAAATGCCTTACCCTTTAGAGTACTTAGCATCAAAAATGATAAATGTATTGGTATATGGAAGAAAAGACTTAGGCAATGTAATTCTAGGCTTGTCTGACTCTCAGGTCTGTGTTTCTGATCACGATGAGTCACGTACAACGGTGATTGTAACAGTCGTTACACAGGGCCAAGGAAGTTACAAAGAGGGAAGGCCCAGTCCACAAGCCAACCACAGAGCTCGGGTTGTTCTGGATTTGAAACGCTATCTGGTCGACTCTCCCACAAATTTCCACAGCACCTGAGCCCAGCCAGAGTCCTGACAACTCGGGCTGGCCTCCTCGATGAGTTTTCAGGGCCCACAAATTTTAAAGTCTGTACCTGGTTGTAATGCAAATAATTCTTGGCACTGCTGCCCCAGTCAAAGGCTTGAAACTTCTGCAACTTGAAAGTCTAAAAAGAAGATAATTTGGGGAATACAATTATCTGGCACAGTTTGAGGTAACATCACAGGTTGCTAGAGTTAGCCACATCCTCAGAAATCGACTTTACACCCAAACCCAGATTCACTCTTCATTTCCAAACCGTAATTGAAAATAAATGCATTATTTTGTTCTCCTTTACTAGCCGACTCCATTTTTCATTGTGTGATTGGAAAGTAGCTGTTGTATGACACACTAAAGCTGCTATGTACATGCTGTGAATTTTTTTTAAACAGAATGCCAATTATTTAAACAAAAAGTAAACTTCTGAATGTACTATGTGAATAAAATGACCTTGTAGGACACCCCCAAACTCCTATCACAGGAACCCCCAAACTTCACACCTGAAGTGTAGCCCTCAGCCTGCCAGCATCCAGATCCCTCAAAGAAGCCTTTCCCAGCAGGCACCACGGCAGCCTGCACCAGGCGGAGATGGCAGCCGCTGGCCAACAGCCCGGAGGAGAATCAAAGAGAAGTTCCTATGGAACAGCTGCACAAAGCGACCATTCTTAACAAACAGATGATACAGTGAGCAGGCGAGCAAAGGGCAGGACTGCCTTCCACAGCGACTCTGGTTCAGAAATGTGCATGAGGCACATTCCAGTGTGGTTAGAATTAAAACCACAATGGGGCCCCAGAGAGAGGCTCTGGGCTTCAGTCTGTGGCCTTCGACCCCGGCCAGCTGCTAGATAAAAGGAGCTGGGACAAGAACGGAAGACTGGTCTGCAGCTGATCCAAGAACTCTGCACACTCAACTCGCACACAGGAGAGAAATCACACTGTCCTGTCACACGCAACAGGGTGCTCTGACAGCCCAGGCTGCCATGGTGCCGAGGCCCCTGACGGTGGGGTCAAGGGTCATTTGTACTTTGCTGAGTCACGTGGCATAGCACACATGGCCTGCAACGTTCACTAAGCTGGGTAGTTCAGCCTCTGCCTTCAATTCGGTAGGTCATCCTTCCCACAAAAGTGCACTGATTCCCGAGGTGACAGAAACTGGGCCTTTTTAAAAATCGTCCATTAGGTAAGAGGGTAAAATGTGTTCCAAAAGGTAGGGGTATTTTTGTTTACTTTGGATATTTTGTTTACTTTGGATATACAAAGTAAACAAGTGACCATCGACAGAAATATGGCTGATGAGACAAGCAGGAGGCTTGAATGAGCAACTGTAAATTTAAGAACGTTTGAAGGTTTCGGGACATTCCTTCCAGATGGCCCTTCCAAGCCACAGGAAGCTCTAGCACCCAGCCATGACATTCCACATTGGGTTTTAGCCACCGCAGGGCTAAGAGGCTCAGCAGGTCCCGCCTGGTTCCTTAGAGGCCAGCCCGGGAGAGGTGAACTCTGGCACTCCCAACAACTGAGGAAGGGTACGCAAGCACCAGTGACGTCCAGGTCAGTGGGTCCCAAATCCAGTTGGGCAGAAGAATCTACTGCACATAATTTTTTGGAAAAAAAAAATACAAATTCTCGCCAGCTTGTTGTGGCTCAGTGGATTGAGTGTCGTCCCATGGACTGAGAGGTCCCAGTTAGATTCCAGGTCAGGGCACATGACCGGGCTGTGGGCTCGATCCCCAGTGGGGGGCATGCAGGAGGCAGCCAACGGATGTTCTCTCACACATCGATGTTTCTCTCTCTCTCCCTTCCTCTCTAAAAACTCAATAAAAACATGTAAAAAATAATAATACAAATACAAATTTTCACCACTCAGCAGCAAAAGGAATGAATGACAGATATACATGACATCAGGGAGAAATCTCAAAATAACTATGCTGAGTGACAGAAGCCACATAAAAGCAAGTATACACTGATTATACTTACACAAAACTCTAAAAAATGCAAACTAACCTATAATGAAAGATCAAATTGGTGGTTGCTTGGGGACAGAAGTGCAGAGGAGGGTGTTAAAAGGGGACAGAAGAAAAATGTTGAGGGTGATAGATAGGCTTACTGTCTTGATTGTGGTGATGGTTTCGTGGGCAAATACCTATGTGCAAACATACTAAATTATACACTTCAAATATTGTATGCCACATACACTTCCATAAAGCTGTTTAAAAAAAAAATAAAAGCAGAGTTTCTCCAGTCCAAGTGAATTAGAATCTCTAGGGATGGGGCACAGGTGTCTTTGTTTTTAAAAGCATGGATTGTAGCCAATCCAACAGCTCCACCATGAACTCAAGTCCCTTGAGCCTCTCTTAGATGAATGGGCATGTCCTTCAGTTACTTCTCGATCCTCTCCTAGAGAAGATTATGGTTTCACTTCTGGTACTCCTCATACCATGGCGTCTGAGGCTCCACCAGTTGAGAGAACCGGGAGAACCAAGCCAGCCACTCTGCTACTCTGCACCTGTTCTGTACAAACCAGGCCCCTGCAGCAGTTCCGGCTGTGCTCGGTCAGTGTGCACTTCCTTCCCGCACGGAGCTCCCTCCCTCTCCCTTTGTCCTCCCAGACGCTGTTTAGTAAATCTCTTTCCTTAGGGGAATCCGTTTGCCTCCTCAGTAAGTTTCTATCCTTGGGTATGCAATGGGGTGGGAGCGCCCTCTGCTGGTGACACTCTTACTTTTCTCAAACAATATTTTATTAGAAGTATAGTTTTACACAACTCACATGACTCTGATGCAGGCAGGAATTGCCTAATATTTGAAAATTGCTATCCAAGATACCCACCACATCTTGGCGTGGAGCTTAATAGTAAGTTATTTCATATTTTTAAAGTTAGGTGGGAAAACTACAAAATTAGGCCCTGAGGTGGAAATAAGTCCCTGACATATCGTTAGGTGAAAAAAAAAAAAAAAAAAGGAAGTTACAAAAAAGTAAAAAAAAATTAATCTCTTTCTATAACTATTATTTCTATCTATGTAGAAATAATATGCAAGCAGCAAGAGTTATAGAATAGAATGCAGATATAGTTCATATCTCTGGGTACACATTTTCTATCTCTGTGTAGGATTATAGAATAATTTCATTTTTTAATCTTTAGAGAATTTTTATTATTTTTTTGCCTATGTGTGATTTCTGAATTTTCTAGAATGGACATGCATTACTTTTGTGATTGGTGATGAAACAATCAAACTCTACATTAAAAGTTGGTGGCTCCTATTTACCTCCCTGATTGGCTTAGCTCTGGTTTATCCAGTGATGTTTCAGCACATTATATTCAAGGGGTAATACTGAAATAGCAGTTTCTGTCTCCAAAGCGGCTCTAAGATCTTGTTTTACGAAGCAACACAGAAATATAACAAAGGTGGGACTTAAGGAAAAACTGACAGAGGGGAGGGGAAAGAAAAAAAATAAGCCAACCCCAAAAGCAGGGTTTGGTGAATTCACACACAGTACAGTTTGTCCCAGGGAAGAAGATAAAAGCAACAAACACACACAAAGACTGGAAACCAAGAATCTGGGGAAGGACACCAGCTCAGATTGGTAAGCAGACTGTCCTTCCATGTGGGAAGGGCTCGCAGACAGGTGCTTCATGGGGTACACAGATCTCTCTGACGCTGCTTTGACTCAAATCCCAGCCGCTCCCCGGAAAGGCCTACCTGGCTCCAGTGAATCATGTTCTGCACAGAAGTCCCAGCAGGATTGTGTGCCACATACACAGCCACTCTCGTCTGCAAAAATCATGTTGAAATAAAGAATTTAAAAGAGTGTTAAGGAGGCACAGATAATAAACAATCTTGCACTTCAAAGGTACAAGCCACAGAGCCACAATCTCACATATATAATAAGAGCAGGAAAAATGTCTTTGACTGCAAACATGTCCTAGAAAAACACATACAACCGCACACACGCAGAGTTCATATGAAGGAAATAGAGCAGCACAGTAACCGTGGAGCTGTATGGGTTGAGATGATTGCTCATTTTTATTTTCTTCTTCATGCCTTTCTGGTTTTCTAAAATTTTATATAGCAATGATACCTTACTTTTATCATCTGAAACAATAAAAATTATTATCACTTAAAAAAATTCCCTAGAACCTTTATTCTAGAACATTAAAACCTGTTTTCAAATGGCAACATTACAAACCACAAATTGAGAAACGTCAGCATATTTGCTGGCCAAAGGGTTACATTTTTCTCAAATAAATTTTAAAATGACCATTCCAAAATTAAAATTATAATAAATTTTAAAAGAAATCACTAGAATAAATATAAATATAGAGACGTGAGTTATGACAGGTCTCCTCATGCAATAGCTCCCGTGCAGGGACAACGCAAGACGCCGACCGCGGCATCCCGGAGGATAGCAGCTGGCATCCCAGGCCACGCTGGGGCCCATTCCTGTGCCGCTTCAATGAAAGACCCCTCAGAGCTCTAATAATGTCATTCCTGCCTCTCCAGCATCCTCCAACACAAATAAGCATATTCTCAGGTGCCATAAAATCACTGAAAGTGTAAAGCAGGTCGCATTATAAACATACATACCATATTTAAATTTCTCTCATTGAAGCCACACAGAACAAAAAAGGCATTTCCACAGAGCTCCTTCAGAACGACGTGACTGCAAAAATGCAGACTCAGCCACTTCATAAACTCATTCTGGGGAAGAAATGCTTTGACCCCAAATAAGTCCTGCAAAAGAAAAAGAAACCCAAGAACACCTCAGCATTTCATTCCGGTAACGGGCCTCCAGGACCCACTCAGAAGCAGAGACGTGCAGCACGCGCCTCCACGGACGGTCTCAGAAGAGACACAGTAGCCTGTGGACATTCAAACGAGGGCACTTTTGCAATCTGTTTACTAAGGCAACAGCAGATGTTACAGATGCCTATGTAAAGTTTCAAATGAAGAAAAGGAGGCAGACTATCAAGTCAATTCCCAGCAGGCTTTTACAGTGGGAAAGGACCTTAGTGCTCACTCACCCCAGGGCCAGCTTCAAAGAGTTTCACTTGACTTGGATGGGTTGGTAGTGACTTCCCAGAGAGTCGAAAGAAATTGATTGGTCAGCAACGCGTCTGCTTAGGGCACATGCATCTAGGCTGATTCTACTGGCCAGTGGGCCAAATCCTGCCCATTGCCTAGTGTTTCCTTTAATACTTTTTTTTTTCTTGTGGCAGAATACACATAACACAAGATTTACCATGTTAACCATTTTCAAATGTTCAGTTCAGCAGCATTACGCACATTCACGTTGTACAACCAGCACCGCTGTCCACCTCCAGAACTCTCTCCACATCTCAAACTGAAACTCTGTCCCCAGTAAACAATGAGCCCCACTCCTCCTCTGCCAGCACCACCTGCTTTTGTAAATCAAGGTGATTGGAACACAGTCACACGTGTTTCCTCTGGCTGTCTTTGCATTACAGGGGTAGAGTCAGGGAGTTGCAGCAAACGCCATCATGGCCCACAAAGCCAAAATAGTTACTGTTAGGACCTTTGCAGAAAAAGCTTGCTGACTCCTGGTCTACATCAGTGCTGACCAACAGCCACTGACTGAACCTGTGTGCAAATACTTCCAGGGCAATCACTATAACCCTAGGGCAGATCTTCATGTATGTCTGCACCAGGAAATAAGAAAAAGATCTTCCTTACACAGAACCACATGTGTCCCTTTATGACTTATACTTTTGCTGATGCCTACGCTCTGGAAGGACAGGCAGGAGTGAAAAACTCAAATGTCAACAAAGGCAGTTTTACGGGTTGAATTGTTCCCCCACCCCAAAACAAGAGACATTGAAGTCCTAATGCCCCATACCAGCCTGTGCCCCCATTTGGAGACTGGGTCTTTACAGAGGAAATCCAGTTAAAATGAAGTTGGTAAGTGGGTTCTAAGCAAAATGACTGGTGATCTTACAGAAAGGGGAAATCTAGACACAGATACAGAGGGAGATCAGCACATACACAGGGAAGACACCCTGCAAAGATAAAGGCAGAACTTGCAGTGATGTTTCTACAAGCCAAAGAATGCCAAGCACACCAGCAGAAGCCAGGGAGAGTCATAGAACAATTGTTCTTCACAGTCTCAACAAACTAATACAGGCAGGCATGTAAATGATAGAACAGTCCATGGAACGTGCCAACCTGCCCAGAGTGATTACAGAACACTGAGGACTGGTAAACCAGGAAGCTTGCGCTCAGCCTAATGTGTACAACTGCTTTATGCTTCCCTCCACCCCAAAAAATAATCAGTTATCAAGATTTCCATGTAAAATGTCCTCTTTTTTTTTTTAATTTAAATTTTTAATTTTTGAGGAAATGCCCTTCTGGTTTCCACAGTGGCTGCCCCAGTCTGCATTCCCACCAGCAGTGTACTAGGGGGTCCTTTTCTCCACACCCTCACCAGTCAGCACTTGTCATTTGTTGCTGGCAGCCATTCTGGCACATGTGAGGTGATACCTCATTGTCATTTTAATCTGCATCTCTCTGATGGTTAGAGATGTTGAGCATTTTTTCATGTGTCTCTTGGCCATCTGTATGTCCTCTTTGGAAAGTGTCTATTCAGGCGTTCTGCCATTTTTTAAATGGGATTGTTGAGTTGTATGAGTACTTTGTATATTTTGGAAATTAGTCCCTTATCTACTGTATCATTGGCAAATATGTTCTCCCATACAGTGGGTTCCCTCTTCATTTTGATGCTGGTGTCTTTTTTTTTTCCTTTATTAATTTTACATACAGAGTAAATGAGAGGGAGAGAGAAATAGAAACATCAATGAGAGAGAACATTAATTGACCACCTCCTGCATGCCCCCCACCCCCCACTGGGGATCGGGCCCACAACCTGGGCATATATCCTGACTGGGAATCAAACCAGTGACCTCCCGGTGTATGGGTCAACACTTTATGTTGATGTAGTTCCATTTGTTAGTTTTTCATTTGTTTCTTTTACCCTAGATGATGTATTGGTGGATATTCTGCTATGTGAGATGTCTGAGATTTTGCTGCCTATGGTTTCTTCTAAAAACTTTATGGTTTCATAACTTACATTTAGGTCTTTTATCCATTTTGAGCTTATTCTTGTGTATGGTGTAAGCTGGTGGTCTAGTTTCATTTTTTTTGCATGTACCTGCCCAATTTTCCCAACACCATTTATTAAAGAGACTGTCTTTACTCCATTGTATGCTCTTGCACTATTAGGAATATATCCTAAGAACCCTGAAACACCAACCAGAATAAATATATGCACTCCTATGTTCATAACATCATTTACAATAGATAAGATATGGAATAGTGCAAGTGTCCATCAGTAGATGAGTGGATAGTAAAGCTGTGGTACATCTACACGATGGAATACTATGCAGCTATAAAAAAGAAGAATCTTTTATCCTTTAAGACAGCATGGAGGGACCTGGAGAGCATTATGCTAAGCAAAATAAGCCAGTCAGAGAAAGACAGATACCACATGATCTCACTATATGTGGAATCTAATGAACAAAATAAACTGATGAACAAAATAGATCCAGAGACATGGAAGCAGGGAACAGATTGATGAACCTCAGAGGAAAGGGAGAAGGGGGAAGGGGGGACAGGAAGAGATAAACCAAAGAACTTATATACATATAAGCATAACCAATGGACACAGAAAATAGTGTGATGAAGGCAGTGGGTGGAGGGAGAGGAAAGGGGGTCTCACTGGGAGAAGGAAGGGGGGACATCTATAATACTTTTAACAATAAAGATAATTTTTTTTAAATCCTGCTTTTTAAAAAAGGTGCAACTAGCCCAGCCGGTGTGGCTCACAGGTTGGTTGAGCATCTACCCATGTTCCAAGAGGTCACCGGGGCACATGCCCAGGTTGTGGGCCCGATCCCCAGTGGGGGGCATGCAGGAGGCGGCCAGTCAATGTTCTCTCTCATCGATGTTTCTATTTCTCTCTCCCTCTCCCTTCCTCTCTCCCTAAAATCAATAAAAAAAAAATATTTGTAAAATAAATTAAAAAATAAAATAAAAATGTACAATTTAACTTAAAACATGGCATGGGCCATATTCAACACTCTTCAGGCAATTTTGATCTGCTACAGCCAGCGATCTGTTTTCTATAGGCAACCAATGAATATCTAAAGACATACCAGGTCTCCTGGAAAGTTCCTTTTCTCCAGATTAGTCACACTAAGATTAGCTGGGGAGAATCAGGAAGTAAACAGCACATGCAGAGAAGGTCATGGGTCATAAAAAGGCATCAGTTGCTAAAATATCTGGCTTTGAGTCTACATAATGGTCACATGCAATAAGTGTATATATTTTTGAGGTTCTCTAGTAAAAACAAATGAATAGAATCAGCGACTTAAATCACAACAAGCCAAGCTTTCCTTTCGACCGCCATCCTTTCGACCGCCAAAGGGTGTGAAGTTGTCTTGTACTTTAGACCTGTTATCTAAACACTGCTGTGGCAAACTCCACTGAAGATTCCGTCAAAGCAGGACAGTGTTACAGGGAAAGGGAGTGTCACCTTACATTTACTGGCCTGCTCATGTCAATTTTGCTGTCTTCTAATATACACCTTTGTATTCTGAGAAAGAGTTATGATACTCAACTTCCATGGAAGCAACACATACTTCCCAGAACAGCACATTCAAAGGTTTTATGAACATACACTCTTTCACTTGGTCACTCTCCCAGGATATTATAAAACACCAGTGTCTGGAACAGCAATTCCTAAAGACCAGTCTGTCTGGCCTGCGTTAGAAACATGTAGGATGTTTGGTAAAACCTCAGATCCTGGATACCACTCCAGACTTAACACAACACTATCTCCACGGAGGGGAGGGAGAGCTTGTGTGTTTATAAAGCTACTAAATCACAGTCTCCAAAGATTCAATTAAACTGAAAGCATCCCTATGACACAGCAATTTCAGTTCTCCATAAGAAAGGGCACAAGGGTGCAGCACGAGCAAATTAGCAACAACCTAAATATCTCCCCCAGGCATCCAATTTAACAGGCAGCAATTCTTTATAATGAAAATCTTATTATGCAGCAGTTAAAAAGCATGTGATGGAGTTTTATGTATTAACAGCTCTTCAAGAGTAAAAAAATGTAATCTACAGAACAATATATACAGTTGAATACTGTCTACATTAAAACAAAACAATATATTTCTCTCTGGGAATTCACACACAAGGTCCCTAAGAAAAGACCCTAAATGGAGCACAGTGCTTAACTAGGAGGAAGGCATTAAGAGAAGCTACGGTTGTTAAAGGGAACTTCATTTGTAATCTCTGAATTGTTCATAATGAAAATTGATGCGTCTATTACTCAAGGCATTATAAACTAATGTGGTTTGAGGAAGTCACATCTTATCTGCATGTCTGGTCACCTATGCAGAGAAACTCATCTTATGTGAGTCAGATTCTAAGCTCAGAGTATAGTCTGTATTTCTTGTGAAAGTCTCTTACATGGCCAGTAGATGTTTAGCCTGTACTACTGAATGGGATTTCATACCTGTGTGTACATAAACATGTCGGACATAAAACATATATAGCGCATGCATAATGGACCATCTGCCCTCAGCTGGCTCTCGATTCCGTCTCATAAAAACTGCTTCCTCCTTGAACAGAGCTGGGGGGTCACACAGCTCTAGGGCTAAGCCCCCGCAAGGTTACTGGCTTGTGTTGGGATGGCATGTGGGAACCGGGCATGTCCTTCTCCCATCTCCTGCCTACTCCTATGTACCACTCCAGACATAGAATAAAAGGCACCTCCAAGAAGGTTTCAGCCACCTTCTCCCAGACTTTCTTTGTGTGATCAGTGGAGATCTGCACTGACATGTTAACCATGAGAACATGGGACTCGGGTATGAATTAATGATACACTTTCCCTGACTCCTCAGGGTCTGAAAGTAGGAATGAAGGGGAGAGAAGAAAACCCACGGAGAGAAAAAAAATCCCACTTTCCATTGGTAGCAAAACAGAGAGGAGAAAAGCCCCGACTCTCCCTCTAATGGCCAATTCTTCAGAGCTGAAAAGGAAACTGTGAGCGGGAAATGGGTTAAGTACCTTAATGAGAAAATATGGAAATTGTCCTAGTCTAGTCAAAGGACTGGTAGCGAACTCGAGTGAAGTCACAGGAGCCAGGGCAAAAAACATTTTAATCTTCCTGGCCAGCTCCGGGATCCGTGAAAATGCGATAAAACCTGTGGGAACAAAAGGAAGGTAACAGGAACTGAACGGTCTCTGAACGGGCAAGGGTGGTTGTGCGTGGCAACCTGAGAAACAAGCGGCAACAGGGTCCTCTGAACGTCACTGTGCAGAAACACTGAGTTTGCCTACACTAGGAAATCAAGTGTTTGTGAAGTGCTCATTTCCATTTTTCGACCTAGATATGCACTGGAAGAAATCTTCGTTGCTAAAACCAGGATGTTTCCTGTTCCTCTAATAATATAAACCGAGCTAAGGAAAGACTGTATTTCTAACACCTCTAGGCCCCGCCACCCCCATCCACCGGTGCCCCTCCCACCATCTCTAAGAACACTGTCCAGAGGTGTTCAAATCAATTACCAATGGCTCAGAAAAGACAGACATTTAGAGTGCCCTAGCATTAAAATATCTCCTAGCCTCCTCTCGGGGCTCGGCTAGCCTTAAACTTGGCTCTAGAACGTCACTTTAGAAAGCAGTGGGGCAAAGGACAAGTCATGGGAGAAGAAATATTAATGAAGAAAAATGCGTAACTAAATGAATAAGAAAGGCAAAGATGTATCCACGTTGCTTTTGGTTTGTGGCGTCCAACTGGCAAAGAGTATTTGGTGGTAGTGAGGGTGAGGCGATTTAACCACATGTACCAGCACACTTAAAAGCATGCATACCTTTAATATAGCAATTCTCCTTCTAGGAATGTATTCTAATAAGACCATGTAACATGAACACAAAGATACTGGCCATTGTAAACACTTAAAGGGAGAATAATTTAAATCACAGGACAGGTTCCTTGCCCCTCATCAGAGGAACTCTGTTGGCTAGAATCATGGGTGATTTTTATTTACTTTCAACTTTGTTAATTTTCTATTTTTGTTTCAAATGAATACATATTGCTTTTATAATCAGCACAAATAAAAATGCATATGACTTTTAAAAACCATTTATAAATAAAGTGTAACATGGCATCTTAGTGGTTAGCTTCATTCTACTTAACTTTAAAATTCTGTGTACTTTCTTATTTTCCTTTTAACAGCCTCTGCACTTTAAAAACTTCTTGTTCTCTACCCTCTCACGTCCTCATATTGCTTAACTAGAAAAATATATAATACGTCACGCCTTACGTTAATTTCTTTAAATTCAAGAGGACCATAAACATGTTTACCCATTTATACTAAAGTCTGAATTTCCAGAGAAGGCAAAATATTACCGAAATTCTTTGTCTTCACCCTAATCATTATTTCTGCTTGGTATTAAAAGTATTAATAATAATAATAAATAAGTCTATTTGGGCTAACATTATTTTTAATAGTTCACTTTTCAGAACAAACACAAACTCTGTAATAAAACATTGTATCAACTTCCAATCATTGTTCCGTACATACCTATCGTAGTGCCTTGAGAATGGCCCACATAATACGCTTGATCTTGGCCGGTTTTATTCAGAATGAAGTTAATTGAGGCTGGTAAGTCATAATTTGCCATCTCATCATAACTGTAAGCGAAAAATGGAACTCTTTCATTAAGACATTATATACAAATAGCCCACAAATAATAAATATGAAGTTTGATGATGTATCACAAACTGAACGCAGCTGGGTAAACCATGACTGAGCACAAGAAAGACAATTCCCAAGACTGCAGAAGCCCCCTGGGACCCTTCCCCTCATGCCTCCAAGGGTAATCATTATCCTTATTTTTTACATCATAAATTTGTTTTCCCCATTTTTGACCTTTATAAATAGAAACAGTATGTATTCTTCTGTGAGGCTACAGCTAAACAGTCACACAGAGCTGTAGGTTGTTCACTGTAAATAAACCACACTTAATTGACCCATTCATTGCAGACAGGCATTTGGTAGTTTCCAAATTTTCACTATTACCAATAAAGTGACACATTGTTGTACGATCCATTGGTAGAAGTTTCTCATTCTTGTATGTCATGTGGGCTCTGGTTTTACAAACGGAAGCAAGTCTGGAGGATCCACAGCCTGATCGCCTCTGTACCTGGTATCAACAAAGTGCCCCGGACCCTTGCACATGTGGGCATGTTTGTCATCAGGAGAGGGATGAGCCATTGTTGCCACCACTTATGATGTACCAGGTTCTCTCCCTGTATCCTCTCCTTTAATCCCCAATAACCTTATAAGATAGGTATTGACTATCCCCATTTTACATCAAGAAAACTCAGACACAGAGGGCTTACATGACATGCCCAGTGTCACACAGTGATTAACTGGTAGAGCCAGAGGTAAAAGAAAGAGGAGGAAAATGTCAGCATCTAGAAGAGTGAACATTTGGAAGGTGTGTTTAGGAAGGAAGAAGGTTCTGAGACACAATTTACTCAGCAGCTCCCACACCACCAGGAATACCAAAAATAACTAAAATTCCCTATTTGAGTCTGATTCTTAAATGTAATCATTCACCTAAAATTTCCCTTACTGCTATTTATTAAATTCCTAAAAAGGTTTAAAATCTTGCATCATCCATCAGTTTCCTCTCTCATATGACCTTGAGTTATCCATCTATCAGCCTCCCAGGGCATCTGCATTAAGGGTACTAAGGACTACACCTGTTATAATCAATTCAAAGATACCTGAAAGCCCAGAACTCGTCTTGGTCTACGGAGAGGGTCTTGTGTTTCCGAGACCAGGTGTTTCCCCTGCTGTTCCCCATCCACACGTCGAAACCAGCATCTGCCAGAATGAAGCCCAGGCTGCTATTGGGTAGGTTTGTGACCCAGTCACTTGCATCTGCCAGCAAGCCATGCTGCAGGAACACCACTGCCTTAGGACCTGAAAAACATGGACATTTAGGAGCTAGCAGCACCTAGCCGCAAAACAAATGTGATATCTTGTTATTCAGATAATGCATTAAAGATCCCAAAGCAAAGAATGAAATAGAAACAAATTAAAATATTGAGGTAGTAATGTACTCCTTCATAACATAAGTAAAGAATATTTTTTTGAACAGCGTTGGCAAGGTAACAGTGAAACTGGACTTTTTTTTAGAGAGAGGGAGGATGGGAGAGAGAGAAACATCAATGTGTGAGATACATTGATCGGCTGCCTCCTGTAGGCCCTCTACTGGGGATTGAGCCCGAAATCCAGGCATGTGCCCTGACCAGGAATTGAACCAGGGCTTCTCAGTCCATGGGAGGACGCTCAATCCACTGAACCACACTGGCCAGGCAAAACTGAACTGTTTTTGCATATCTAATAATAAAACACATTGATTTAATCATCAAAAAATTTTAATGTATTTTAAGAACTTAAATGTTTCTATACGTTGCTCCATTCTCAGAATGTATCTTAACAAAATAAACCAAAAAAAAAAAAAAATCAGACACACAAATTCATAAATATATAAACATATATATTCACATATATATATGTACATTTATATACATATATATTTATATGTAAATTTATGTTCTACTCACTTGTACCTGAGACAGTGATAGAGTAGAAAAAATACAGACTTGGGAGTCAAAGAAACCTGACCTCTGGCTGCTTACATAGTGTTAGAAACATTCAGTCATTCATTAAACAAGCAATTATTGAGCACCAACTACGTGCCAAGCACCCCAACTATGTGCTGGGGACACAGCAGAGAATAGAAACAAGTGGGGGGAGGCTCACCCTCATGGAGCTGACATTATCCTGACCATGAGTTTTGGAGTCAGACCCACCTGGGGTCAAACCTGTCCTCTCCTAGTTCTGACGTGCCACCTTGGGCATGGTATTTCAACACCCCCTGGAATTTATATCACCCCCTGCATCATGGAAATGTAACTGGTACCTTACCGGGAATAATGAGACAGTATACAAAAAGTTCTCAGCAAAGTGCCTGTCTGACACACAGGAAGAGTTCAATAGACACTAGCTGCCATTATTAGGTTGCTTAACCCATCTGAGTCTCAGTTCCACGAAGAGCTGTTCAGAGGAATAAATGAGATAATGAAGTGTTGGCTGTAGTGACTGACACGTGGGTCAAAAGGAACAAATAAGAACTCCCTTTGTCTTCTGCACATTCTTTAACATAGTGAAATGCTGGAAATAAGCTCCTGGTTGAGTGGTCAAATAATTAATTGCAGTCTAACTGGTGCAATAATTAAGCTATAAACAATGACAACAGCTGTGGCAGCACTGAAAAGCTTCTAACATAGCCTTGAGGGGGGAAAAGAGTCAAGTACAAATTCTAGACTACTCCACACTACAGCTATGCAGCAATGCTGTCTGCAAACGAGGACTGAAATATCAAAGGAAAATGAGAAGGCTGATTCATTGGCTAGTCCAATGGGAAGTGAACTGACAGACTTGGCTTCTGTTCATTGGATTTCTTTTCACCTTGCTGAGAAAAGCTGATTGGAATAATAGCTAGCTATTAGTGCATGCTTATAAACTCTAAGGCACCGTGGTGAAAATCCTGTAAAGTTGGTACTGTTCCCATTTAGCAGACAGGGAATTGTGACTAAGAGATGTAATTTGACCACTCTGGACTGAGAGCTAGTAAGTGAGGGAGTTGAAATATGAACCCAGGTACGTCTGCTACCGGGGTCCATCACTGTAATTGCTTCGCTACAGGAAAGAAGGTTAGCCAGAGAGAAGTCATTCTAGACCACACAGAAAGCCCTCAGAGAATGACGGCCCAAAGAAGGGAAGCTATTTTGGAGGAACTTGGACCAAGTGCTTAGAAGAAAGCAATTTCCGTAGGTGGAGGAGATAAAGAGTGAGAGACGGGGTCATGATATGCAACCTTGCCTGCTCAGGCAATTCTTCCAAGGACCAGCCTGGGCCATGCACTCCAGCACTTGGGGCTGGTGTGTCTGAGCAACAAACTAATGTGACAGGAAAAGGGCTGCCTTCCCCATCTGCCCTACAATCGGTGTGTTTGTCCCAAACCGGTTCTAAGAGGGCTAGGGCGGAGAAGTAGGCCTAAAAGCACCTTCGACCAGAGAGGGCAAGTGACGTTATCATGGTCACCTAACAGTTAGCACAGGGCCAGCAAAGGGAAGCAGCCCCATGGTGACCCATCACAGTCCGCCTGCCTGCTTAGACCCAAACGTGGGTGCAAGTAAAAAGGGAATTACTCAGGCCCAAAAACCAATCTGCCAAGCTCACGGTCTCATGAGAGGAAGATGACCGGGCGGTTGGGGAAGTTTCCTGCCTCCCAAGCCACTGGCCTGCTCTACCAGGTGGTGTCTGGTCAGGCCTTCACGGGTCAGGCTCTAAAATGATGTGAGAAATCAGCTGAGGTACAAGGAAGAACCAAAAGAAGAACAAGGAAGTCACAAGGAAGCCAAGGAATGCGGACAGCCTCTAGGTGCTGAAAAAGGCAAGACAGAGTCTCCCCTCGAGCCTCCAGGAGGAACACAGTCCTGCCAACGTCTTGACCTTAGGCCTTCTGACCTCCAGGACTCTAGGACCATACATCTGTGTTGGATTAAGGCACTACGTGTGTGGTTAAGTGGTTACAGCAGCAACAGGGAACAAATACACTTGGGGGCTAGATTTCAGCTCTATTTTTCAGATAAGGACTCTGAGGCACAGTGTGACTAAGTCACCTGTGCACAGTTGCACAGCTAGTGATTCCGAACCAGAACTCAGAGGCAGCAGTAGGCCTCCTGGGCCTGAAGAAGAGGGACCAGCCTGGCTCCTTGTTAGTCTGGCAGGAGCTCGCATAACCTAAAATCTTTCAGGATCTTTTAGAAGACAGGCGGCAAGTTGCATAAGGACCCCCTCTCCTCTGCAAAGACAGAGTCTAGACAAAAACGGCATCAAGGACTGAGCTTATGGTGCACAAGCATTCCCCCCATTCACAGTGAGTGATGCAAAGTCAGAACTGTCCCCCTCTTTAGCCCTTTCTACAGGCATCCAAGGGACCGAACAATTCACGGAAGCTCGACACCCAGCAAAGCAGTGCTCGGCTTGCACAAACCCCAAGTCCAGGGTTGGCTCAGTCCTTCCTTTGGGCTTTAGATCTCCAAAAGCTTCAGGGCCTGGGAGGCTTCCTGAACCTGCCCCACCCACTTAAGACAAACCCTAGCAAGCATTCTGGCACACCAGTGGTACACTCAGCTCTTCGTTTTACATAAATTACACTGTTGCCAATGAGCTGGTAAGATTCATCCCACATTCAAGATAAGAGAACTGACTCCTGCAAACAGAAATTAAGCAACCTAACCCGGAACACTCACCTAGCAGAGAGCCAGACCTGAAACCCAAGTCAGCCTATTCCAAAGCTCTTGCTTTTAACTACTAAAGAAAAAGTCATTGGAAAACGAAGCGCTGGGGGAGAGGAAGTGTGCTTGTCAGTATTCCAGACATTCCAAAGCAAGCCAAGCACTGTTTCCCCAAACCGGCTGCAGATCCAAGTCACCTGGGGCTGAGAAAACGACACCTTTCCGGCCCTGGTTCTGATTTAGGGAAGCAGGAACTCCAGGGACAGAGCCTGGAGATATTTGTTTTTGACACACTCCTCGGCTCTTCAGATACAGTCCATCCATAGGTGTGTTCAAAGTGGATTCATCTGAAGGGGAGCGTGTCCAGCCCTCAAAGGGTGGCCCCTGAGGAGTCCCTACCAAGGCAAAGTGCGCAGTGCCTGTCTGCACACTGAAGGCAGTTATTCAAATCCCAGGACGTGATCAGATACAAAACTTGTCAGATATTATTGGTGCTTCGTTCGATGATTGCTTTACTGCACAATGTATTTCCCAATTAGGCAAGGAGTAAGTCTGCCTTGTTGCTGTTTATGCACTTTAGTCAAGGCCTGTATGTCTTTCCTTGTTTTAGCCAAATGCAATAAATATTCTGCCATGGAATTAACTGGCTCAACGCTTATTACTCAAGGCCATGCTCTCTAGTTTAAAGAACACTGACTCAGACTGCCTGGCCCACTACCCTCTGACCTAAAGCAAACCCCTTTCCCTCTGTGAACTTGGTTGTCTCATCCAGTAAAATGAGGGTGTTGATCTAGAACCCAGGTTCTCAAAGTTTATCTTGGAATCCGCAGGAGAGTATGTTAAAAATGAAAGCTCTCCAGATGCCTGGCCCAGGCAGGACTCTTGAGATCTTTCTAGTGCTAACATCCCATGACTTTCTAAAATAAGGCTGAGAAGATAAAAACTGAACCACTTCCCTATAAATGATGAATTTCTGAATTTCAATTCCCTGATGGAGTTAGTGAAAAGCAGGGGTAGCTCAACATGTGATACAGAAGTGTGCTTAGCTTTGGGAAACCATGTGCACTTACTTCCCCAGTCCTCAAGAGCTTTCTTTTTTTTTTCCAAATATTTTTTTCTTTATTGATTTTAGAGAGACAGGAAAAGAGGAGGAGAGATAGAAACATTGATGAGAGAGAACATCGATTGGCCACCTCCTGTATGCTCCCCACTGGGAATCGGGCCTACAACCTGGGCATGTGCCCTGACCAGGAATTGAACTGGTGACCTCTTGGTGCACCAGTCGACACTCAACCACTGAGCCACATTGGCCAGGCCCAAGAGCTTTCTAAATAAGCGTTCCAAGCTGCCTAGTTAGTAGAGGTTTGACCAGACAGGCAAATGGTTGTCTAAATCAGGGGATTCTTTACTAGGTCCATAAACTTACTACAAATACATACAAAATGTGTGTGCACACAGGTCCTTTATTTTACGGGAGAGAAGGCTCGTTGCCTTCATCCAGGTATGTACCCCAACTCTGAAAACTGCCCTGTATAACTGTCACTCAGGCTGACCGTGCAGAGTCCTGGTGCTGCGAGTTGCTCTGAGGCGTACAAAGACGACAAAGACACA